CTTGTGAAAAAGATACCAGATCGAGAGAAACCCAGTACCAAATTCTTTTCAACGTCATGTACAGAAACTGCAGCAAAAATTTCGGTTGGAAGGCTTCATTATTGTTCGAGTTTATTTATATTATTATAATATTTATTATAATTGTTATAATAATTATATTTATGATTATTATAATTATTACATTATATTATATTATAATTAATTAATTATATATTATTATATAATAATATATAATTATAATTATATTATATATTATAATATATAATATATATAATATATTACTATTATATATATATATATATATATATATATATATTAATATATTATTATATAATATATAATTATAATATGTATTATTACATAATAATATGTAATTATTATAATAATAATCATTATTGGCATTACGGCTGCGCGCGTAAGGATAAGAGATAAGGGCTTTAACAAATACGATTTCATTCGATAACGTGCGAAATAAAAATATCCGATCAACTGAGCTAATTAAACGGATGTTCTGCTCGAGCGGAGGATTAATGTCCGTTCTTGATCGAAGTTTGTGCCATCGCTGGCCAACGAGCGTCGATAGCAAGCCCCTTCGCTGGCGACGCGACGCCACCGGCGAGGCGAGGCGCGTCGCGTCGCGTCGCGGCGACGTCGTTACCACCACCATCCCCAGTCGCCACCACCACCACCACCGGCGTCGCGACACCGGCGTCGTCGCCACCACCGACGTCGACTCGTGACGCCGCCGTCCTCGACAAAAATAGACGTGTCGTCGCGACGCAACAGATATCATTCGGCCTCCAACGACACGCGCATGGAATTCTGACGAGGACGTCCGTCCTGCGATCCTTTCTTCGAGATTGTTCATTACGCGACGCTTTCTTCATCGGATGCTAATTGCACGGACACTTTCTTCATTATACCTTCTTCGTTGTATAATTCTTCATAATTTATTCATTGATCGTTTATTTTCATGATCATTCTTCATCGATCATTTTTCAGTGGTCGTTCAATACCACGATCATACTTCATTGATTGTTCATTGCTGCGATCATTTTTCAGTGGTTTTTATTACCACGATCATTCTTCGTTGATTTTTCATTACCATTATCATTCTCCACCGACTGTTCATTATCACGGTCATTGTTCAATGATCGTTCATTATCACGATCATTCTTCATTGATTGTTCATTATCATGATGATTGTTCAATGATTGCTCATTATCACGGGCATTCTTCGCTGATTGCTCATTACCATGATGATTGTTCAATGACTGTTCATTACCACGGTCATTCTTCATTGATTATTCATTATTACGATCATTCTTAATTGATTGTTCATTACCACAATCATTGTTCAATGATTGTTCATTATCAGGATCATTCTTCATTGATTGTTCATTATTATTATCATTCTTCATTGATTACACATTACCGCGATAATTCTTAAAATTGATTGTTCATTACCACAATCATTCGCCATTGATCGTTCATTACCATGATAATTGGTCATTGCTTATTCATTAAACTAAAAGAACCGGGACACAGCAATTTCTATTAAAATTTTCAAAAAAATCGAAGTTAGAAGCCGGTCAGAATCGCTCGCATTACTATTTGCAATGAGTAGAAACAGTAGATCATGATCGAACACAGCAGTCGATTCGTATTTTAATAGAATGCGTATCAAACGAATTTTCGAAACGCGCGAGATCATTAAGATTACTATCGTTCCTGTGGGAATATGTATTCGAAACAGCGCAGAGAGACATTTACGTTCGAATCTTGTTTATTGACTTATTAATTGACTCCGAGGCACCATTAAAATTTGTTACATCACGTTCTCAGATGAACTTTATATTAACAAAGTTTAGATTTAACTGTTGTGCGAGTCACGAGAGTCAATTTCATGTGCATGAAACGCACTTTGTCACGTAAAATAAAAATACTATCAGTCAGAAAAACTATTTTAGATTTACAGATAAAATAGCTTCGAGTGCAAACGGTTAATAACATAATATCAGCCCGCAATCGCGATGTAGGTATGGAACGAAGTGTAACGAATATAATCCATTTCCGTTAGTCGTGCCCGTGGTTCCAAGAAAATGCGAAATTACGATTCTCTGTTCTATGTAGGAAATTATTAATGATAAAGGTACTCTAACCGGAGTGCCCGCGGAAGAAATTGTAAGACAAGGGGTTATTCGTTGAGTGCCGCGCTAAATTCGCATGACTCTCCATTTGCTGGGCCACAGCTGGTCCATGTTGCTCCATTTACTATGTACACCGGTAATATGTGTCTCGCAATATTTATCAAACAGAAGAGAACGTAGGTATTTCGCAACAAGTTACTCTGCCAACTGGGAAACTGGATGTTGAACGTTAAGGGAGCAAAGAACGTTTAGGGTGCTTCCCAAAGTAATTGATTACGTTCCGCCGTACAATGCACTGCGCGCTAAGAATCGTTCATTCAACAAGTTTGTCACCGTACCCTGTTCGAAACGATGCAGCGAAGCGTGGTCCTCCTTCGTCTGACCAAACCGATCACATTCTACTTCGACGATCGAGCGACGCGAAAATAACAGCAAGGTGAGCCGAGGGGATAGAATTGAAATTGTGCCGCACAATTCGAGCGTGACAAACAGACGGTGGATTTTTTTATGCAGGATAACAATTTTGCGAGATATACATTTCTTTTCTCCTTTAATTACTTCGTTGCGTCGAAAGTAATGGAACAGTATTTTTAAATTCGATAAATGTTTGCATCGTTTTGTATTCGATCTAATTATTTTCTAGAATTTTTGTTTATATCTCAATACTTTGACGTGCCTCAAGAATTTCATTAAATTAAGATATTTTATTCGATTAATTAAAAATTGCAAAGCAATGTTACGTTCTCGACGTTCTCTTGCAAATCTGAATAAAATCACGAAATTAACACATTGCGGACGGGGCTCTCCGCGTTCAACACGCCTTCAAAGACCGCACATTTTCGAACGCTCCAAAAACATTTGCATTTAGTATTCTTAAATAATACTATATATACATAGTTTATATATCTGTTTATTATATAAGATTTTTTACATTTTAACTATTATTTATTATACAAATTTGAATATTGATTTAGAGTGGCTATAATGACTGATCATTTCTACATGCTTGGAATGATTCATTTGTTTCGCTAAAATTACTTAGGAATGCGGGAGGCTTCGTTACCATGGTTACGTAACAGAAATATTTGCGGCAGGTTGCTTGTTGCCGATTAAATAAAAAAAACATGAAAACGAGATATCTCGTGACCCGTCCGCAA